GTTGCTCAGCAGCTCAAACAGGCCCTTGCTGGGGACACCGAAAGGGGTTTCCAACAGGCCCAGTAACCCCACACATAACCAATATCTGCTGAATTAATGAATGAATGAAAATGGGGGTGGGGGTTAACGTCCCTCCAAGGGTAAACACCACTGTCAATATAAACCCAAAACCTGTTGCTGTCGAGTCAATTCCAACTCATAGCAACCCTGCAAGGGTCACAGTAGAACTGCCCCATAGAGTTTCCAAGAGCAGCTGGTGGATTCGAACTGCCTACCTTTTGGTTAGCAGCCGTAGCTCTTAACCACTGCACCACCGGGGCTCCACTGTCAATATAGTATAGTTAAAAACAAAAAGACTACTCAGCTTACTCAAACACAAAATGTGTACATTAAACACAGACAAAAAGCTTAAAATTTCCAGTTCGTATAAACTTCCTTAGGAACCCTGGTGGTACAGTGGTTAAAGCGCTCGGCTGCTAATCAAAAGGTCAGTGGTTCGAACCCACCAGCCGCTCTGTGGGAGAAGGATGTGGCAATCTGCTTCCGTAAAGATTGCAGCCTTGGATTTGCTCTGTAAACTTTCACCTAAAGCACAATTAAAAAAAAAAAAAGATTTATAGCCTTGAAAACCCTATGGGGTAATTCTACTCTGTCCTATAGGGTCGCTATGAGTCGGAATCCCACTTGACGGCAGTGGATTTGTTTTTTGGGGTTTTTTTTTGGTTATAAACTTCCTTAGTTATAATTATCAATATAGGCTAGATCAGTTATTAAATTACCACGGGGCCTTAAATTACATGACATACACATTCAGTATTTATGCATCTGATTTTAAACGTATAATAATTTATGGCATAAAATTCAGATACTTCAGCCCAGACAGATGAACAATTAGGTATCCACCAAACCAAATCATCATCAGTCTATCAATTTTTTAAATCTTAAACTAAAAAATGACAAAATTCTGTTTATCACAAATAAACTGTCAAGCTTTCAAAGTGTAGGCCTTAAACATCAGAGGTTAAACTCAGCAATCATTAAAACATTCCTTCATTCATTTCAATATTGAATAACTACTGTAAGTCAAGCTGCTAAGCTAACAAACCCAGTCCCTAATGAGAGAAAGACAAAAATCAGAAAGATGAAGTGTGATTTAAAGTCTTCGAGGGTGCAGAGCAAGGCAGTCCAATCCAGTCTGGGCACTGGGGAATATCATGCTGAGGCTGATATCTGCACAAAGGTCTAGGGTGACAAAAAGTTAACTGTGCTAAGAGGCAGGAGAGGACAATGCAAGTTACAGAATCCCAGAGAGGGCCCCTGAGCCTGGGCGGCCTTCAACAAGTAGGCCAGTGCCCCCACATGGGGCTGGAGAGGTAGGCAGCGGCTGAGAAGCATTAGTTATAGTTAGTCCTTGGTGGTACAAATTGTTAACATGCTCAGCTGCTACTGAAAGGTTGGAGGGTCAAGTCCATCCAGAGGCGCCTTAGCAGAAAGGCCTGGCGATCTGCTTCCGAAAATTCAGCCACTGAAAACCCTTTAAAGTTCTACTCTGACACACATGGGGTCGCCATCAGTTAGAATCAATTCCATGAGTCGGAACTAACTAGGTGGCAAACGGTAGTGCAATTAATAGATCAATAACATCATAGAAACGTTCGAAAGTAAAATGTCTTCCAAGAAAATTAAATAAGTCATCTCTATTTCAGTATTTCTGTATGTTCAAAATGTTTCCTCTGATCTAAACCCTAAAGGTTATTTTTTAAATAAATTAACTCAGTTTGGAAACTACTACAACAGAAAAACCCACTTCACAATTTTTCCTCATTTTGTTATCTTTCTCAACTCC